GCCCGAACACCGGAACACATATAAAAGAGCGAGGCAAACACCAAAGCATCCCCTAGATATACAAGTTGTAACTTAAACAGCAAATGTTGATTTCTACCCTTCAGTGTTCGCCTCTTCACTTCCTAACTAGTGTGGAGGCCAATTTGTGCATTGCGGTTTCTACACTTTGACTCTACATTCCCACGCGCAATGGAATAAGAAATGGTGAAGAATTGTAGCGCGCTTAAAGACCGCATGAAAAATTAATTCCATAGTTTTATTCTCCCGGAAGCTTTAACGTGCTATGAAGGCGTTTGAGTTCATAAACTTTTCAACAGTCATCATCAAGGTGCGTGGGAAGTAAACCGCATGAGGATTTTGCCAGTCTCTTGCGCGCTATCAATCAACAACAAAGTTGTTTACTACTTCTTGCGCCTCCTAGATTGTGCATTGTTCGCTCTCCCTACACAATTTTTTCTTACCTTCCTCTGATCATGATACCTATAACAAAATTATCTTGAAAGTGTCGTACAGTTGCCGTTATTAAATGCGAGGTTCCCTTGTAGGTGGTGATCATTGGCACGTGCGACTAACAACGGGTCGTAGAGACGCCAAATTTCGAGCCGAATACACCTCTCCGTGCACTGCAAACGTCTTCCTCACTGTTCAAGGCACCAAGAACACCGTTTCCGACCTGCTTCTTTCAATGTACCAAAGTGGAGTCACCAACGGAGTCACTTCTCCCTCCACCAAAGCCTCCAAAAACCGAACAACGAGGCCGCTCTTCTCCCCAGGACAGACGGATGAATTTGTGGTAGCTTAGTGTGCTTAAATTTGTTCATGCCTCAGTAATAAGTGAGTGAAATGTGAATTAAGAGGGTAAATTATAAAATTGCAGTAAAATTACTGCCAATTTATTCAGCATTTATACGTAAATGTGGGTTTCTGTTGCATAAAATTAAAAGCGTAAAAGTGGTGACCATCAAAGCCTAAGGCATTCCTTGCGTGAAATGAGGTACTTACCTTCGTCTGAATGGAGGACTTGCGGGTAGCTGAGTGTCAGTCTATTTAAAAAAAGATAGCGTTTAAATTAGACAGTGGGAAAATTGCATCAGTCATCACCTTCATTGCTTTCAAATAAATTATTTAACCTCTTCAACCTTCTGCCCTGTTAAGCTGACTTCAAGATGGAAACGCAGTAAAATATTACAATGAGTCAGGAAATAATGGAGAAATTTGTAGACCCAGAATCGCATTGAAAGAGAGGAGAACGCTAGAGCCAGTTCGCAAAACACATTTGTGAAAACAACGCAGGCTGTAAGGGATGATGTACCGGTCCCAGACTCTCCATTCGGTAGAAGGAGGCTGTGAATTCGGCTGAATGCAGGTACTCAAGGAGGAGAAGAAGAAATCGAGCTTTAGCTCGACCTGAAGGTCATTCCACGCGCTCAAAAACACGATGAATGCAAAAGTAACCGCCAGATATGAGGTTGGTGCACAAAGAAGGCTCTACATTGCTTCTCACGTTCTTTAAACGATATCCTCAGCGCTTCACTTTATACTACTCCGGCATCAGTCATCACAACGCAATTGGTACCGAGCTGAATCAACTACAAGCCAGCCACGCCAGCCATCAGCTACCATGAGACTGAGGCCATGTACTTAACCTTTGCAGCAGTTTTGAAGTGACCTTGAGTTAGGTTTGATAGAAGGATAAGAATTGTGGAGAGGAAGTTCTGCTGATGGACGCTTAGGAGGAACAATGGGAACAAAAACAGTCCTTTATGGAAAGGCATTTATCGTAGTGTCATCTCTGATAAAGAAACTCCGATGCAAAGCCTTTCCAAGTGGTTCGCATTGGTGTCACTAAAGTGGGGTGAAGCTAAACGCAAAGATCATTCCAACCTTTTTGCTGTAAGATTCCTTTTGAAAATCTTCTTCCCAAATCCCATGCGCTCTCTTCAGATCGCAGAAGTAAAAGCACGAGGATGGAAGTGGCAACAAAGTCGGATCGACTCTCCGATGCCACTAGTGTAGGCGGAAGTAGACATTGGGTCGGGCTGTATGCACGTATTTTAGGATACAAATAGAGCGACTAGACTTCGCTTGGCGAGAATGCCAATACACGTGCACAAAAGCAAGAAAATCACCAAAGTAACCACAAGATATGCATGTAGTCATTTGAACAACTTATTGCAAGCACAACAAAATACACTGAGATAGTGTAGTGTTTAAAAAGGGAGCTCTCTTAAAAATTTAGGTGAATTTGGGCGACATAGGCGACATAGTGAAGGTTCGCCTATCTCACGACAACACTGGTGATTACCCAGAACTCCTAATCTCTCATATGAGAATGACTAGACTGCCAGCAACTCATGCTTCTGGGAAATCCGGTCGACCAAGAGACGGTATTGCCTCCTCCGTCTCCAGCCATTCCCTTGCCGACCCAAACTTTGCCGACCTTACCTTCTTCTTCAGTTCCTGGCTCTCGAAAAACATCGGTGATGGACAGGTGATACGAGAGGTGGCGTCTAGAGGCTCCTTAAGCCTAGTTCTTCAAGAGCAACAACGTGTCCGTCAAGAGGCTTTGAAAAGGCCTCAAAGGAATGTGTCTGTAACACCGAGTATCGAGGCCTCTAAAGGGGTGGTGGATGAAATGTTACAACTTCCTGGCAAGCATTTTTACTCACTAGTAGTCCGTTTCATTCCGTAAGAGCAATGCTAACAAACCAACTAGTCAAGGCAACTTCCTCAATTTGCAATTTAGACATTTGGAAGGATTAAATGTAACCCAGATGCTCTATACACTGAACAATATGCTCTTAATATATTATTCATCAATGAAATAAGAAAGTAAAAAGGATTTGTGTGAAGATGAAAACTATTTTTCTTTTAACGTTACCACGACCTTGAACCACCAGGTGATGAACTATTGCATGCTAGAAGTGGTGTAATGTAGCGAACTACTCACCACCTTGGGCCGAGTTTTTAAGGCCTCAGTACGGGTAAGCAAATAAATTTCACATGACCATGTGTTCAGTGTCTGGAGGGGTACAACACCCACCCCAATCTTTTCTCACTCTAAACAGCATAAGGTGAATGGAAGAGGCTTCAAAAGATCCTCGATGACTTTGCTTTACTCATATTTAGTTGTTCAGTACAATGTGAGAATTAAAACCAGTAATTTGTGGAACGCGGGTACTGTCGGCGAAGTCATGGTCTTTCTTGTGGGACAATTCGGTGATTCTGGTCCCCGTCACCTGTGGAACTGGCAATCAGCGAAGCGTCGACCGTTTCAACGGGATCAGGTGAGCAGCAGCAATTACAGGTCATGGAAGACATAGGTCGTAAACAGTTTCAGATAATACTGCCTAATTTAAAGTTGATTTTGAATTTTTATCAGTGTAAAATAAATACTGACAACAAATTAAAGTCACGTTCTAACAAATGAGTAGAAAATGGAACTCTTATTGAGGTATTCTTTGTGATAGAAGCAAAAGTACCTTCGGAGGGGGCTAAGTCTGCTTCCACTTTAGTGACCCTTGTCGCACTAGCTTAAACTAAAAGTAATGCATGAAAATCAACAGGTATTTTAACAGCTAAAGTACCTGTTTGTTTCTTACGACGTGGCCCTTTACTTGGGCAAAAATCAAAACCGGTCTTCAAAGGAAGCAGAGGAGCAGTGGTGATTGATTTAATCGCAAAATGAGGATCTTTTCGAAGCTGAGGAATTGGAGCCACTACTCCGTACGCGAAAAGTGTAGGCATAAGTATTTTTAAAATATTGCTAATAATGTGGAAACTATGCAAAACTTTATTTCAATGCTTCTGAAATGTCTAAAATATTACTATTGGTAAAGCATATGCGGAGTTTCGTGGCGTTTACAAAGGTGGTGGTTCGTAGGACATCTTGTTTCTCATTCAAATAAAGGTAGTATAAAAACCGTTCCTTGTTAGTTGGACTAATGAAGGATTAAAATCTGTGTTGTGATTGTTGGAAAACGATTAAGTGCAGTTTTATCCTTAAGGTGGATGACTTCAAAATTCAATGTGTGACTCTGGGTCAACTGAGCTCAATTAAAGTGTGGCTGGAGTCGCCGTTGAAGAAGACACCTGAAACATGGTGTCTAGAGTGGATTCAGGTGATTGAGGAGGATGCTTCCACAACTAGCATTTCTCCGTCAACCTCGGTAATTGTTCGTCAACCGCCTGTGCTATTTTATGGCGACCAATGGCTTTATTCAGAGCCAATGGCCAATGACCTTCAGATGGTTCCAATTGTTCTGCCAGTGGACCGCATTTTTGGGCCTAATGGGGAATCCGACTATGCATTCCCAGAAAAGATAGCAAAACTGGTGAGTTTTACGTTTTTCCATTCGGTGAGTCACTTTTAATTGTCTCAATGTTGCATTACTATAAAGTGGTAGTTAAATCTCAAAACTATAAAGCTTTTGAAAAGGCCGAGCTATTCATAGGTCGAAGAATAGTTGTGATACCCCGAAACGTTCCACTAGG